TGCGATAGGCCAAACATGCACAGAACACTGTTACCGTTCCACCAAAGTGGTACCTATTAATCTACACACATTTGCATGCTTTCAAACTGTTAAGTGAGCAGGAGCTGGAGCAGATTATCCAGGTAGAGTAGGAGTTGCCATCAGCTATAAAATATAGAGTTATCCAATTATCACTGTGATGATCTACTAATGAAGACCAGCTTCATATTGCCATAGCAATGGTTAAATGATAATTTAAAATACTATTACCATTTTCAGCCTTGAAAATGGTAATTTGTAAGCGAATAAGAAACAACATCTTGATCAGGCCTATTGTGCTCTCAAAATTAAAAACCAGCTGTCCGAGAAAAGATCAAGCAGAAATTGCAAATACAAGGGTTTCCAAATTTGGGGTTCTTAGCAACTTCTTCCCATGGTTGCTGACATCAACATGGCTTGTTGCCATTGTAACATTCTAATATTGACAGTTATTTTGTCTTCTCTTCCTAATGATTTTCAATATTGCCTCCTTTTTTTTACAGCTACCCATTGAATCGATTCATTTATCATATCATTTACCATGAACCCAGAACTATTCAGGTTTGATAAATTTAAGAATTCCAGATATTGAGGTTGTCCTTTAGATATCACTCTGAGGACTCTCAGTCATGATCAGTATAACAAATGAACTTCTTATCTATTCTTTTTATTTATTTTTATATTATATAGTATACAATACACAATCTAATTATGAATCTAAATTCATAATCTAATATAATATAAATCTGACCTGTGGTGACGCAGTAGTTAGAGTGTAGTACTGCAGGCTTCTTCTGCTGACTGCCAGCTGACTGCAATTTGGCAGATCAAATCTCACCAGGCTCAAGGTTGACTCAGCGTTCCATCCTTCCAAGGTCGGTAAAATGAGGACCCAGATTGTTGGGGGCAATATGCTGACTCTATAAACCACTTAGAGAGGGCTGTTAAGCATTCTGAAGCGTATATAAGTCTAAGAGCTATTGCTACTGCTAATTATAATTCTTAAATATATAATTATAAAATAATATATTATAATTCCAATGTAAGTATTGTAATTATATATTATTAGTACTATTCCCTGAAGAGCCGAGGTGGCGCAGTGGTTAAATGCAGCACTGCAGGCTACTTCAGCTGACTGCAGTTCTGCAGTTCGGCTGTTCAAATCTCACCGGCTCAGGGTTGACTCAGCCTTCCATCCTTCCGAGGTGGGTAAAATGAGGACCCGGATTGTTGTTGGGGGCAATATGCTGATTCTGTAAACTGCTTAGAGAGGGCTGAAAGCCCTATGAAGTGGTATATAAGTCTAACTGCTATTGCTATTCTCTTTTCCTGAATTCCCTTTTAGTATCTTTGTGAGAATTCATTTACAGGACTTGGGTACAGAGACTGATCTTAATATACAACTTTTTTAGAAGATAAAAGATTACATTTGAGGTCAAGGATATGGACTCCTTTGAGGCATTCAAGATATGCTTTAATTTATTTTTAAATATTTACTATTCCCATTTTTCCCTAGAGAGATTAAAAATCAAAACTCCTTAAATTCTAGACAGGAAGTTAGTGAATGTTGGTGTAATGGACTAATTAAAAAATTAAAATAATTTTAAAAGTATATTGGTAGTGAAACCACAATATCAGGAGAATAATTTCAAATGATATTTGTATTTTTTGCCTAATTACTAACAAAAACTGCACAAGAGTTGGGACAGTGGGTTAGCTGATAATGTAGCATTTTTGACCTAAGACAGGCCAAATGTCCTCCCTAACTTTGTAGGGAATATTCCATTAAATTCCTTTACCAAAGCCAAATAATATTTTTTAACCTATTTTTCATATTGGATACAGTCTTAAATTACATGAAGTTTGGGTTCTTTTAATAAAAACACTTTTAATAAAGCAAATCACACCCTTCCTAACCAGCGGCTGTCCTCTTCATAAGAAAGACTTATATTGTCTAGAACAGTGTTTCTCAACCTTGGCAACTTGAAGATGTCCGGACTTCAAGTTGTCAAGGTTGAGAAACACTGGTCTAGAACACTGTTGCAGGCCAATGTGCCAAAACTATACATTAGTTTTGGGCTTTTTCTGTCTTTCCCTTGCTATACTCAAAAAAAAATTCCAGAATTTGACTCAGAATGCTTACCAATAAGTCCTCTGATCTATATCAGCATACTCTCCACGTGAGGGCTCTGAATCCCTGAATTATTTAGAACAAAGACTGAAAGATAGATGCCAATGGGCATAAGGCCATGTACACTGTATGTGGATTCTCTTTTTCTGACAGTTATGCTGAGTATGCACAAACATTGCAAGGAAACTAATATCACTTAAGTGGAATTGGGTGGAGGTGGGGGAGGCTGTACCAGAACTTTCATTATAACACACCCCAGTTTAGATCATTCCTGAACAGTGATCTAGTCATCTTGTGATCTTCTATTGCGGACTTTCCCAAATGGTCTAAAGTTTTCTGCTACTTTTTATGTTTGATATTTCTGCCAAATTAGATCTCAGCTGCTTGGTAACATAGATTTGTCATTTAGATACTATCCTTTATTGGCTCCTACTACTGGCATCTTATTACTGAAACATCACTAGAATTATCTGTGCATAATATAGCCTAACTCAGTAACAATACAATGTAAACTGTATTTAAACAATTACACTAAGGAATGGCTCCTTTTAACCACTCAAGTGAATTCTTTGGAATACAGAAAATGAAGGCAACTGGATATAATTGCCAGCTATTACTGAATACCTTGGTTGTAGATTATCATTTTGAGTATTATTTCACATTTAAGAATCAGTCATTTCTGGCAATATTGTGAAATGGAGCTTGCTGGGACTTTCATGTCTGTACAAATCAGTTAAATTTCCTGGTTTGGATTAAGTCTCAGCTGTAATTGAAAATCCACATATGTATTATTGACATTTAAATCAACCACTGGAAATATATAATCCTCCAGATGAAGAACTGTCATTCATGATTTATTTCTCCAGTGGCCATGTTCTCTGCATTCTGGATAAATATTTACGTGTTGTTGGAATTGTTTTATAGTCCTGTATCCATGCTATTTTCTATATGAAGACTAAACTAGGATAGATAGTATATTCCTAAGAAATGTAAACCAGCTTAGCTGATTTTTTTTTATTAGGACAATGTAGCCCTTCTGTTGGGAAATGTTTTATTTTAATAACATGGAACAATTTATTGGAATAAGTTGCATTATCTCAAGAGCTGATATTATGTATCATTCTTGATCAAATTTCCAAACTGGAACTTTAAAGCATATATTCAGTAAATCTTTTTCCTGCACAGAATACCTGTTGCTTTCTAACAGCTCCTGGACATTGTGCAGACTTTTCTAATCAGTTCACAATGGCATTTATTAGGCAAGAATAATCTATATCAGTAGCAAAAAGTCAATGTCGGAATACAGAGCACACTGGAAAGCTCAGGATTATGATAATAACAAACTGAGATAATTCTCAACTCTTTATAAATGCTTCATTTATATTTTCAGAGTAACCCTGCGAAGCCAAATTTCATGAAGCACTAGGGTGGAAGCATTTGAAACCTATTCTTTGTTGTGAATATAAATGGTCATTACCCAGCTGCAGTTAAATTACATTACTGTATATAAAATTGTGGCTAAAAGAGCCATCTTTGAATCTCCAAACCAATACAATAAATAAAGAATTTCTACTGGTTTCTTATACTACAAATTATGGAGAAAGTCTGCTAACTAGGTGAACTACTAAATAATATAAAATATCTTAAGATATAAGATTGTTTCATTTAAGCTTGGATTAGTAGCTTCCAGCTTTCTTAAGTGAACTTTTTTTCTAGATATTGAAGGTTTTTAATATTGATCATGAAAGTAGTACTTTCCTGGCTCATCCTCCTGTATGTTAAAATCAATGTTTTTTAAAAAAATAATTCCCCCATTAGAATGAATATCTATATCTATATATATACATACACACACATACATACATACACACACACACATACACACACGCACACACATATATATAGGCACAGCTGTAATTCAAATGCTGTTTCAGTGGTGCTTTTCAATGTTGCCTACCAATTTGTCTGTCTTACACAGGAACACTGAAACAGAAGAAAGGTATAAACAACCCAAATTTACCACATTTAGTGTTCAGGTCTTAGTGCATTTTGTTTTGCTGACTCTATAGACTTCAGCAAATCTTTTTAATTTACATTTGTTCCCAGAAAAATCTGCCCTGATATTTCAATTAATTCAGTAAGCATCCAGATTGGCCAAGGCCTTTCCAGAAATTTCCCCAAATGTACTACCTCTTGCAATTAGATGATCAAATCTGGCAGAATAAAGTAGAATAATACTGTAGAAATACACTATGGCAAGAATGTTTATGTGGCAGATGAAATAATATATAAGCCAAAAGTGTATTGATATTCTGACGCTTGCTAGAAACTAGCAACAGTATTTCTTCAGTTCTGAACATGTTATAAAAAAGACTGTAATTTAAAATTAAAAGTAGAGAACTATGTAGAGAGAAAGGGAAAAGGATCCAAATGCTATGCCCTTCTCATAAAATATTGATTTCTCATCCAAATTCTTGTGTGCCTTGCATAATAAACAGCATCACTACATCTACTCTGAAACTTGACAAACATTTGCCTGAAGTGTGTGTGTGGGGGGGGGGTGTATGCCAAGCCTTAAGAGACTATTTTGGGGGAAAAAGCAATTAAAATATCCAAAGCAAATACAAATGGTTGATTTAAAAACACAGTAACTTAGAGTTGATGGAATAGGAAGTCAACTAATAGTTAACACAGAAACATTTTTGTTCTTAACATACTTTCATGTTTATAGCAATTGTTTCTTTATGACAAAACTCTACAGTGCCTTGGCTCCACTCCAGATCACTGTTTCCGTGCAATACCATGATTGAAATCCATCAAGGAGCACCGTCCACATCAACCAGTCTAAGTGCATTGTGCAAATATATCAGCTTTATTTCTCTTTTGTGGAAATAATTACAGGCATTCAGGTAGAAACATATTAAATTAATGCAGTCTAGAGTTTAAATGCAAAAATAAATATAAAGTCCAGCAGCTGATGGCATTCATAAAACTTCATTTTCCCCTTCAACCGTTTAGAAAAAGATGTGCAATTTTTAAAATATTTTCTTCATATTGCAAAGGAAAAAAAAATCTCAAACAGCTAGGCTAGAAACATACAAGCACTCCCCCCCCCCCAACAAAATATTTCTCTTTCAAGACTGCACAGATTTGCAGACTGCTCTTCGAATCTACTACATTCATACTGGATCTTATTGTCGATAAAGAAAAAAATAAGAAAATAAGAAGTGGAGGAGGGGAGGGGATTCCCATCCCGTCAAGTCTCCTTGCAAGGATTTAGATTTATCATAACAAAATAAACCGGAGCGTCCCAAAGGCTATTTTTGTGCCGGGAGGGAAAGCCGAAACGAAGGTTTATTTCTCATCAAGTCTTTTTCAGAAACCGTCCCTTTCATTTCTCTCCCTCCCGCTTTCGGATGCTCTTCCACAGAGTTCCTCCGCCAACTTCAGTATGAAGCAGAGAGCCGGGCGTGCGGCGGGGCGGGTACACAGTCCAAGGCGGCAGATCCGCTTCTCCCCCGCGGTGGGTGAGGCGCGTCCCGAGCCCAGCCGAGGCGCAGCTCCCGTCTTTCAGAGGGCCGAGTCGGAGTCGGAGGAGTCCAGGCTGTTCCTCAGGCGGCTGCAGCTGCTCAGCTTCTTCTCCTTCTGCAAGCTGAGATTCTGGGTGCTGCGGCGGAGGCACTCGAGCGACTGCAGGAACGACTTTTTGGCTTTCTCCTCCTCCATGGGGGAGACCCCTTCCTCCTCCACCTCTTGGATCTCGTCGAAGGTCACCGGCTGCGTCTTGAAGCGGGACTGGCGGGGTCTGCGCAACTTGCCCTTGGCCAGCTTGGCGGGCCGGATGGGTTGAGGGAATTCCTCGGCGATGCACAAGAAGTGCGGCATCACCGCCTGGTAGCTCGAGCAGATGCCCATTAACTCGGCGGGCTTGGCGGCGGCGGCGGCTGCCATCCTGCTGTTGCTGTTGCCTTCGGTCCCCCCTTCCGCGCAGGGTCGAGGCGCAAAACTCCCGCTCGCGTTTGGCACCGGCCGGTTGTGGTTGCTCCCCCTGGGGGAACTCTGGCTCCGCTCCGTACTGTTTGAAGTTATACTTGCTTGAAGGAGCAGAAATTGCGCGGGAAAGCCGCCCAGGAATCTCTCTCTCTTCTTTTTTAAAGCCGAGGAACTCCGCCGAAAAAGGAGCCCGGCGCGCGCGAGGATCCTCGAAGCTCCCAGCGACTCGCGTCGGCTCGTTGCTTGAGAGCTCCGCGCTGCGTCCCAGCCTTTTTTATACCCCTGGCCGGCCCACTCAGGAGCATGCTCAGATGACACGCGATTCCATTTAAAGGCGATGAGGCTGCTGTCCTTCCGCCTGAGGTCTTCCCGGCTCTCTCCTCTTTCTCTCTTGAGAAAAAAATAAGCAAAAAAGCAACAATGACAAAGTAACGGGGACAACCCCCGCGCTCACCCACTGCGGAGTCGGAGGAAGAGGGCGCGCTTCTGCCTCGCCTACACACCAGGCCCGCCGAGACGATTGTTAAATGCTGGAACAAGACTAATGTGGGGCCCCCTCACCTACACATGGACCGCGCGTTTCTGTTTTTCCTTGCATTTTGGAGCTCCCGATTTTTGAGATGACATTTCACAACCATTCATAAACTGAAATGAAATATAAAATACATTCCTAAACGAAATGAAACTAAACTTGCAAACTTAAATTAATAAGTAATGAAATTACAATTCAATACATTCCATAAAGAACTGTTCACTGAGTTTCAGATTAATAAAGTTTATGTCAAACAAGGCGATTTTTCTATACATATGAACTATATAGCCAATGTTTTTTTCCTTTAAAAAATGGTTTTGTAAAAATCTTTTTAAAAATCCCCCTTCATAGCCCCCCTTTGAGCTCCATGGGCCCCCGGCTGCACCTCCCTCTCCTCAGGCCTGCTACACACACACACACAGACGTTTTGCAGTCGGCAGAGAGAGACGGGGAGTGGGGGGGGCAGATGGGGGGGTGCTCTCCCCCGCAGCCAGAAAAGCACCTTTAGAGGCGCCCGTGCCGAAATCTAGGCGGGCGCATCACCCCAGAAGCTGCGCGGTGGGATCCCCGACTTCTAACACCGATTTAAGCAACTTCGACGAAGCCCCAGGGCGACGATTTGCTTTTGCCCCTGGTAGCCGCTCTCGACTGGACGGGTCATTTTTAAAACTGGTTCGGTGGCGCGGGGACATATATTCCAGACTCCTAATTTCTGATCTATGTCCCGCTCGTCCCCTTCCAGCGACGCAGGTGGTTACACCCTCCTATTGCAATCAAGAACAGATTGATCCGTGTATTTAAGCCTATGGCATTTATGAAAGAGAATTTTTTAGCTTTCTCATTGTTGCTTCCTGGGTCGCTGAAAAAGCGAAGTTTTAAGCCTTGTCTAAAGGTAGGAAGGTGGTGTCGGTTTCTTTGGGTTCACTCACTCCCGTGTCACTCCCATCTCTGGTTTTGTTTTGCTGGCATCTACAAAGACGGCAAGAGGTGCCATCCAGCCCCGCAGCGAGTCTATGTTGATGGCTACGGTTGCTTCACAATCATTTCTGCAGAATAATAGCAAGTTTGTGGGAGAAGGGATTCAGGTAATTTATTACAGTAGTGCAAGAAAAGGAGCATCCATAACCGTACAGGGCGGGGCATAACCTTTTCCTAGGGGGTCACAGCAACACTTGTAATAACAACACAAATAATTCATACACCATTCGAAAGCCCATCAAAAACTGAGTTTATTGACACGATTTAATAGTCAGTATGACCACCATTAGCCCTTCGAACAGCATTCAAACGAGGTGGATAAGAACACAACAAATCTTCAAACAGTTCCGTTCGATTTTCCAGATTTTCCAGGGCGGGGCATAACCTTTTCCTAGGGGGTCACAGCAAGATCAACAGCAGTTTACAACTTCCGCGACACCTCATTTTAAAGCCCATAAAAAACTGAATTGAATGAGCTATTAAATGTTAAATTTGTTTCGGTTGAAACTTTGAGAATGAATTTGGAAACTGTTGAAAAATCTGGAAAATCGAACGGAACTGTTTGAAGATTTGTTGTGTTCTTATCCACCTCGTTTGAATGCTGTTCGAAGGGCTAATGGTGGTCATACTGACTATTAAATCGTGTCAATAAACTCAGTTTTTGATGGGCTTTCGAATGGTGTATGAATTATTTGTGTTGTTATTACAAGTGTTGCTGTGACCCCCTAGGAAAAGGTTATGCCCCGCCCTGTACATGTTTTATAGGTGCATCCTAGAAAAGCTAGATAAATTGATTAGTTAAAATCATTTCAAGTGACTAAAAAGCGCCCAAGTAAAAATAAGCACAATCATATCTTGACTGTAATAAGATGGTTTCAGAAGTGTACATGTTGTGCATGTTGTTTCTTATTGTTATTCCACAAATCTCAGGACCAAAGACCATACAAACATATCCTGCTGGCAACATTTTTAGGCCATGTCTCATGATGTTGTTTTCATCTTGTTCTCAGCCCAGGAGTTTTTATTTAAATAAATAATACATGAACCCAGGAGTGAGACAGGTGTAAATTGTCCTTAACTATAACTGTTGTACAAATATTTACCAACTAAGCTCATAGTCATCCAAAGGGACCCTCAAGGGTATACATTCGTAATTAGTGATTTATAACTTTATCCCTTCATATCAGTGAAATAAAGCTTGTTTTCATTACTAATATAGTGATCCATCAATGGCAGAAAGATGATGATGATGATGATGATGATGATGATGATGATAAAATCCCAGGTGAAAAATGGCCTTTGTCATCCATTGACTTGCCAGGAAATCAAATGATCTGCAACAGGTAATTCAGAGAGGATGAGATTTGGCACTGGAGACAGCAAATTTCACATGCTATAGTGTTCTATATATATCAGTGGTGGGTTCAGCCAGTTTGGCCCAAACAGTAGTAGCGGTGGCGGGAGCCCCAACCCCCACCCAGATGCTTCTGTGCATATGTGTTTGCAGGAGCATGCCCAAACCAGTAGTAAAAATATTTGCAACCCACCACTGATATATACCGTTGCTTGTGGTGGTGCAGTGGTTAGAATGCAGTATTGCAGGCTGGCTTTGCTCACTGCTACGGGTTCGATCCTGACTAGGTCAGACTTCCATCCTTCTGAGGTTGGTAAAATGAGGGCACAGATCGTTGGGGGCAATATGCCGACTGTAAACTGCTTAGAGAAGGCTATAAAGAATTATGAAGCAATATATAAGTCTAAGTGCTATTGCTATTGCTATGATCCACAACACACGTCTTTAGCTGAGGATTTTTATTCTTTAAACTTCTTACAAATCTCCTTTTGAAGAATTTTCTATTCCTTTTGGTCCAATTGGTTCTTTCTTCCTACATTTATTTTGCTATTTACTTCTCATTAATTCTCTCTATATGATCAAACCATCATATCGTATTTCATATGGATGATTTAGTTGTAATTTAATCCATATGTCCATTATCTCTCCAAGATCCAAAACCAAACAATGGTCTGTTTCACATTCAGAGCCTCCCAGAATCTTCTTGCTTCCTTCACTAATTATCTCAGTTTCTTATAATAAACAATGAAATCAATTGTACATTTTTATTTACAAATTATTTTCATTGATTTATTTTATCGCATATGAATAGGTTTGTTTAGTGTATTGGAAACTAATATAGATTTTTCTGTAAACAGTTACCAGTTGTTAATTCATTCTTGAATCTCTCAATAGCCCACCAATTTTTCTGTTCTCTCTGATTTAAGGATTATTGGAGTTGAACTCCAATTCATTATTCAAATTGGAGAAAATTACACAATTTCCCCCAAAACTCACTTCTGTTTTTTCTGTTCCACCAGTGGAATGTAACCTGTACCCATGACCATCCTTTGAAGAATGACTTTCATGCAACTCACTATAATCTCTTATTCCAACTTTTTGACATGTTTTTTTTCTTTTTATTCATAATTAAGTCAGCACCTTCAATCCCAGCCATGTATTCATCAGCTCCACAAGATCTAACCATTGTCAGTCAGATTTATCAAATCTGAAATAAGTTGTTCTTATTTTGTTTTTTTTATTCATTTGTTAAGATACGATTTTTACCACTTAGTTACATTCCAAGTCACAATTTTCCAAGTGCCTTCACTACTCATCATGATGTTTCTCATAGTTACTTTGTTAGTATTGCCGTCAGTCATTGGAGCAAAGATTATGGGAGCTGAATTTCCAGTCTTCAGATTTGAAAACTCAGTTTAATGGGAATCAGATAAAATGTCAAGAGTTCTAAGTACCTGAAGGTTTTTAGTTATTTTTCCCTCATGTTTTATTATTGAGAACAGCAGGGAGGCAGCATACTAAAGCTATTTTTCTATAATTTTCTTCTGCAACAAACAGGGAATATTAAGTATCTCATGGGGAGCAGGTAAGAAGCAATACCATATGTTTTGCATGGAATGTCTGAAGTGCATTGTGAACTAGAACCAGGATTCTAGTTACCTTCAAAGTTTTTTTTTTATGGTAAGACAATTCACTAACAGTTTTATTCATAATTTATGAAGTTTCTACATGTAAAAAGAAACAATAAAGTGTTGTTTTGGAACATCAGTAGAACAAGAGTGAAGTTTTGGTTAATCAATTAAAACCTAAGTATTTTATTACTTGCATTTGCTACAATATAAAACAATGGAAGCAGCATCTTGGTGTCTTGTCCAGAATCTTCAAGACATTTCCCAGATCACCCTTTCTCAGAAACCAAAGCCTCTGCATTAACCTAGGACCGAGGTTAATGCATCATCTGGCTCGCTTCCTAGATCTTTGTGAGGAGTATGTAGAATTATGTTTGAAAGGAAAAGGAAAGAAAAGAAATAATACTAATTTGGCAATGGTGAATCTTACTACCAATTAAATGAAACTTTATCAGTATTTTAGGACTACTATAGAAGGATTTTTTTAGACTCATGGCGTGAATAGTATATTATTATATGATGGAACCTTTACTAACACTGAGCTCGCTACATTATTATTATATAGCTTCAAACACATAATCAGTTGGCTCAGTCATAAGTACCACCTATGTCTACTGAAAACTACTGCAAGTAAAAATTCAAAGTTGAGATACAAACCAATATTTGAGACTTGAGGGCCTCATGTTTTTT